GGTGAACTAATCTTTGTCGTAATGTGTTTTGGGGTTTGAAAGCTACTGGGACATCATGTTCAGAAAATAAACGTCTCAGTTTCTCTGAAACTCCCCCACATATGGAATAACTACTGGTTTGGGTCTGGGTTTAGGGTCTTCATTTTCAGCTGGTTGTTGGTTGGAATCCTGTCTGTGTTTCCTGTCTGCTTTCAGAAAAGCCCAGTCAGGATAACCACACTGCTCCAGGGCCTGTCTTGTGTGTGACTTCGGAGAGACGAAACGTTTCACTAAAGAAGAACCATCCAGAGGACCTACTGGTTTTTTCTTTTTGAATTTTTCTGCCTGGATTACTGAGATGCATCAGGACAGGATTAAAAGTGGTTTGTCAAACTATAACCTGGCTATCTTGGATGTAGTTAATTTCAACATTTAACAAAAACCAATCAGATCTTCAGTTTTCAGACATTTGTTTTTTGTGGTTTGGCTTTGTTTAACAAAATCCATGCCATTATTTGTTCTGTTTGTCCTCTCTTTATAACTGCTTATGAGATGCTAGAAAGTGGTTCTTGATCTTTTTGACTTTAGGCTTTATTTCCTTTAGAAACCCATTAACGAAGGTCCACCTTTATGCTTGCAGATCTTACCAGAGGAACAATGACAGAGTTTGAGCAGAAGCTCCGTAAGCAGCATGAGGACTCCATGCACCGTGAGCTGGAAGCACTGCTCACTTCAGCTGACAAATCTGAAGCAGAGGTGGGTTCAACTGCAGCTCCAGAAATCTACAAAAATGTGTCTTAAAGTCCCTGTTCATAAGTGAAACATTGCAGAGATGAGTACATGTGCTTCATGAAGTGCTCGTGGTCCTTTGTTTGATAATTGTGTATTAAAAAAATACACTAAAATTAAGATTTAATAAAAATGTTGGACCTTTTGATTCTGAATCACAGTTTTTGTTCAGTTTGAAATTTTCTCCGGCTGTTTTAAATGTTTTAACTTACACAGTTAACCTATTTGATGAATCACTTAAAAACTGTCTGTTTTCTCTAATTTCTTATAAACGGGTTCAAAATTATTTTTCTGTGCCAACTCTGAGGCCAGAAACACCAGCCTCACCTCTCACTGCAGGAAACATCTGTGCTCAACTGGAACAAAAAGAATCCATTGGGTCCAGATTCAAGGGGGCAAGAATCATGACCTCTTATATACAGCGGGTAAAATAAGTAATGAACACGTCACCATTTTTCTCAGTAAATATATTACTAGAGGTGCTAATGACATGAAATTTTCACCAGATGTTGGTAACAACCCAAGTGATCCATACATACAAAGAAATCAAACCATAAATGTCCAGAAACTAGTGGCATGCATTGCTCAGGTG